TTTGTGAGTCACAACCGTTTTTTGAGCCCTATCAAAATTCTCTTCAAGGGGAGACTAGTGGAGTGGAAGAGATCTCCACTAGGGTTAATCCTTGTTTTTGCTCTCGATCCCTCTCTTCCAATTGCTCCTCCCRATCATACTTCCTCACATACTTCTTCCCTTCTTATTGGACCTATTGAGTTTGCTAATCCAAATGGGACTCTTGTTGGTACTACACCTATCATTGGAGCAAATATTCCTAGCCCTGGAAATGAAAGAGAGCAAGTGTTTATCAAAGACAAGAAAGAGGAACATGCTGACTGATGACTACAATCAATTGGGAGATTTTGAATCCACCAAGGTATTGTTCACACTACTGATTCCACTAGTCTTGATTCAGATCTTATTGCCTTGCAAAAACATGGACATTCATGTATTCTTCATCCTATAGATAAATTTGTTTCATATTCTCACTTGTCTCCTGCCTATCACACTTTTACCATTGCCTTCTCTTTGTCTATCACACTTTTATTACTGCCTTGACTTCTGTCTCCACCCCTTCCAAGTACTCAAAGGCAATTGTTGATCCCAACTGGAGGGAAAATATAAATGAGGAAATGAGAGCCTTATTGAAGGAAAACACTCGGGAGCTAGTGGATCTACCAGAAGGGAAAAGCATTGTGGGGTGTAAGTGCATCTATATGGTCAAACACAAGGATGATGGCTCTATAGATAGATACAAAGCTAGACTAGTTGCAAAGGGGTTCACTCAAAAGAAGGGTGTAGATTAGGAGACATTTACCCCAACGGCTTATCTAAATATCATATGGATGTTACTCTCCCTAGCAGCAAATTTTTTCTGGGAACTACATCAGTTGGATGTTGAGGATGCCTTTTTGAATGGAGACCAGCAAGAGAAAGTCTACATAGAGCCTCCTCCAAGGTATTACATAAAGGAAAAGGTGTATAAATTAAAGAGGGCCTTGTATGTACTTAAACAATTGTCAAGGGCCTGATTTAAGAGATTGTGCAAGGCAACGATACTATAGGATACCAACAAAGCAGTTCTCATCGCACACTGTTCCATAAAAACATTGGAGGGAACTTAACAACATTGTTTGTATATGTTGATGGCATGGTTGTCACTAGAAATGATCCAATGGAGATTTAAAAGTTGAAATGTTTCTATTGAGTTAGTTGCTCATATACTCATCAAATATCGGTCTATTATTGGATGGTATGTTCTCGAAGATTCCCTCATCTCTTGAAAGTGCAAATACTATCTCCTAGTCTTCTACTAAAACTGAATATCATGCTATATCATAAACTTATAGTGAAACCATAGTTTTCAAGGCACCAAGGCAAAGCTAGGCAATAGGGGAGAGCCTTGGCACCTAGGCTTCTCCTAGGTGATGAGTTTTAGAAAATAAAAAAATATAAATCCTAGGGTAGATCCCTAGGTTTCATAGTAATAAGTAGTGATCTTTAACTAATAATCACCATAATTCTCATCAAATAAGTATAAACCCCATATCAATAGATAGAAAGTGAAGATATTTATGAGTAGAAAAATAAGTAAGGAAATAAACATACAAAACATAAGGGTTGAGCCCTTATTTTGGTCTTAGGAAGAAGAAGAAGTCCTATTGATTGTTTTTGTGTGTCAATTGGATAAAATCTTCAAGTTATTTTTCAGTTATCAAGTCTGGTTTAAAGTCCTAAAGGGTTCAAGACTATGTCACTGACTTGTGTCACGATTGAACCCAAACAAATAAGAAAATAACAAAAGGAAACTAGTATAAGAATAACAAATATTAATACTATAAATCCACAATATGAATAATTTAGTCTAGTAATATCCGTTGTACTACTATTAATAACATAAAATAAAAATTTTAAATATTGTGTGGTGTCTTACATATAAATATGCAGGCGTTTGGGCGAGGCAACCCTGCAAGAATGCCTTATCGCCTAGGCGTCGCCTTGACAACTATGAGCGAAATTATTTGGTTGTGAGGTCTACTTCATGACTTATGTGTTACAATCTCTAACCCAATACCTCTCTATGCTGGTACGAATACAATTAATATTGCCCTAAATCTAATCTTCAATGAATGCACTAATGTATTGAAGTCGATTGCCACTTTATTTGAGTCTTTCCAACATTATTACTCTCCCTTACATAGCTTTTAAATCTTTAATTAGTTTATATTTTTTCACTATTGTTCTCCCAGTCCCTATCAACATGTTTTTGCTTAAGCCCAGGTGGGCCTTCAAAAGTTCACCCTGTTAGACAGTGTATGCCCCTTAGCTCCAATTAGATTCATGTACATATATATTTATTGTAAATGAATAAAAGTATATAATTGATTCATGTTATATTTGGTGTGTTTCTGTGTAATTACCCTTAAACTAGACACTTATGAGACTCGTGTTAGTTTAGAATGTTCTCAACCATTGGATAGACTTGGGGAGGTTTATCCTGCAAAGGCTGACACGAATGTGCTGCCAAGTCGGTTGGGGTAGCTTGTCTCAGCTGTCAGGGTTAGACCCGGAACACATGTAGTGTGTATTTGCTTGAAACACTAAACCCGGACCATTTTCCAATTATGCCCTGGACCTTGGAGACTGGTGGGCAAAACTAGAAAGTTACATCCAACCCTTAGACTCGATTATGGTACTGCATTGGGTGTCAGATTAAGTTGTCTTTGATATGCCAATCAATGAAACCCTTCGGGGGTCAAAACCTGGGTATGTTGGGGCAGTCTGAGAATTCACTCAAGTGGGTGATCATAGTGATAGGATCAGTCCCTTTGTATAAATAATAAATATGTTATTATCTAGTGTAAATATGAATACATATATATATATATATATATATATATATATATATATATATATATGTATAAATTATGTTTTATGAAAGGGTTTGCAAAAGGTTTTAATTCCTGGGATCCATCTGAGCAGAGAGTGCAACACTTTACCTTGTAGCCGAGGGAGAGGTCGTCTCTTGTCGAGTAGTATTTGATCATTAAGGGCTAAGAGGTTAAGTGTAAAAGACCATTTAGGGCTATTATACCTAATGGGCTAATCTCACTTAAGACAATTGTCCTTGGGCCTTCATAAGATGGTTGGACTCAATGACCATTTAGTGTAAATGTTGGGCCCATTAAGAGCCCATACTGATGGACTCAGGGGTTGAACCCGAATGGCTTTTGTGAGATCAATGTTAGAGTCCCACACCATACAAAGAGAGCCAAGTTGGCCAACAATTAATCAGGGACGTGAGCCATTTACTTAATGGGCCTAAAGCCCAAAGATTAATTGGATTAATCATCATGGGCGAATTTGGGTGTGGATATGGGTTTGGATCAGCAGATAAGGATAAGAGGATAAGTCTTATCCACTTAAAGAGAAAGATTTGGATTAAGGAATTCCTAATTAGATTAGGAGATCAGCTCTTTAAGATCTATAAATAGGAGAGGGCGAATTGCTCCAAGACACACAATACTGCTCTCAACTCTCCCCCTCTCCTTCTACTCTTGCCGCCATACATACCCTATTCGATTCTCCATTCTTGAACTGATAAAGATCAATTCTGATTCTGATTTTTGGAAGAAAAATCAGATCTAGCTCGTGCTCACCTCCCTTACTCGACCCAAGCCATTGGATTGCAGTTCTTGCTTAAGGACTGCATTACTGAACCTGCTTCATGTCAAGTAGCGCCATCTTCAGTGGAAGCGGGTTTTGGTACCTTCTTTGGGCATGAACACCTACTTTGGGAGCTACATGTGTGGATTCCATATCAGGCATTGCTTTCCCTTTCTTTTGGTTTCAGATCTGGTCCGGTTTGGTTCAAGAACGATCCTTGAAAAATGCAGTTTTTCTAAAACTATGAATACGATTCACAGAAGAGAGAAAATAAATTTTTGAAATTTCACCAGCCACCCTGCATGGTTCGTCCATCCATATGATGGATTTCTCCTTCACACCCAACATCGTTCTTCACTTTAGCATTTGATAGAATATGTTCAGTTAGAATACTAGGTCCCTAGCCTCTAAATTTTATCAATAACAAAGAAATTATTCCAAGGGTGGGCCTTGGCGCAATGGTTGGGTTGCTCACTTGCTCCATTGCAACCTGGGTGACCAGGGTTCAAATCTTGGAAACAGCCTCTCTATATGTGCAGGGGTAAGGCTGCACATATCTCTCCCTCCCCAGACCCTGCATTTGCGGGAGCCTCATGCACTGGGATGCCCTTTTTAACAAAGAAATTATTCTGATAAGAATTAAATATAAACAATCATACAATCATGTTTGGAGAGTTTGTACAAGAGTTTGAATATCATTGTGGCATATTAGGAATTCCTGAAACAGCAGAGCCTGGAGTATCAATTTAAGAAGACAACACTAAGTCATCTTAGTGATATTTAGTACTTTTATAATAACAAAACAGAAGCCAAAATTATTTTTCTAGCACACCAGAGCCTGGAATATCAGTTTAAGAGAATGGAACTAAGTCATCTTAGTAATATATTGGTACTGTTGCAATAACAAAACAGAAGACAACACTCTAAAGATGACTATATACAAATCAGAATGACATAAAACCTAACACAATAAAAATAAATCCTCAAATTACTTTTCGAGCACAGAAATTATTAGGTGGTTTCCCTAAACAGTGCATGCAAAACATTTCAAAATAAATATGGAAAGGCATACCTGAGAATTTACAAAGTTTTGGCCCTTAAGTTTTGCACTCATACTTGAAAAAAACAGGTAGTTGAGATGTGTACCAAGTGAAGCTTGATGAAAATATGCTGCCCAATGACTTCTAGAGAGAGATTTGCCAGAACAAAAAGGGAAATAAAAGAGCCCACCTGAGGTAGAAAGTAAAAATATTGCAGCAAGCAACCTAGATACCTGTTTCAGTATCATTACACAGTTAAAACTCAACAATTTACATTTCAGTTTAACTGTTTTTCTTATAATTGGTAATAAAGAGCAATACATACTAAAAAGTTAAACAAGATCAAAGAGTAAAAGGATATCAAAATAAAACAGTCCAAAATCTCCATTTTGGTATTCTTGCCCTTAATTCAGAATTTCATCTTATAATTTGTCACTCCTTCTGGAACATAAGGTACTGTTAGATAATTATGCCCCCAGAAGTCCAACATTTCTTGTAAACTACTTTATTATGCATAACGTTTGAGTTTCTAGTGTAGTTATGTGTGTCACTGTGGTGTGTTTCTATGTTATACCCTCGACCTGCATTTTAGGACTATGTTATGAGACTAAATACTCAATATGCAAACTAAATGTTCTCAACAAATGGATTAACCAAGGTAGTTTATCCTGACAAGGTTGACATACTTGTACCGCCTAAGGGTGGAGCAGTGTGTCTCTGCTGCTAGGGTTCAGATCCAAATTATAAGTGTTTATGAAACATTGAACCGGACTATATCCAATGTGCTCCTAGACCTTTTGATTGGTGGAGCAATTGGATAGTTGCATGTAGTCCCAAGACTTGATATTGGTACTTTGACGAATATCAGACTTGTCTCCTTCTGATATGCCAACCAGTGAGGTTCTTTTGAGGTCAATACATAGGTATGTTTGAGAAATTAGAACAGTATCTAGACAAATGTTCAATTAATGGCAGATAGACTGTACTACAAATGTTCAATTAAGCTTGTTAACCTGATGAACATAATCCAATTTGAACCAATAGACCCAAGTACTTTGGGTGGTAGAACTTGGATTGGTTCTGATTGACATATATGAGCCAACTTAGAGGCCTAGATGGGTCCCACCTCCATTTTGAAAGGAAGAACTCTTGGTTTGTTTGAATTAGAGGCTTGTGGGTCCCATGCCACACAAGACTCTCCTTCTCACATTCCACTTGAAAGAAAAAAGAAATTTATTAGGACTAGGAATGGCAACGGGGGGGTATCATATTCCCCGTCCCCGATCCCCATCAGGAATAAAATTTGTCATCCATCCCCGATCCTCGAAATTTTTTAGATAACAGTATTTTTTCTGAAAAATAAATTTACTTAAAATAAATAAAAAATTTAATTGTAAATAATGTTTTAAATGTGTTTTGATATATAGAAATAATATAATATATATATATTTAATATAAATAACATTTAATATATAATCGGGTTCGAGACGGGGCGGGGACCTCAATCCCCATCCTTGACCCTGACCCCGATTGGGGATTCCTATTAATCTCCGTCCCTGTCCCTGCCCCGCCAAAACAATCCCCATCCCTGACTCCATTGGGTTGGGGAAGTCGGGTCCCCGTCGGGGATGGGGAAAATTGCCATCCCTAATTAGGACTGGGGAGCCCTATTTTGAAGAGTTCTAATGTGATTAGGACTTGATTGGATTGACTAGTCGAATTCAAGGCTGAATTGAAACAAACTTATTAGCATGTCTCACCTAATCTGGTTGGGAGACATTGAGAAATTCAATTAGGTCTCCCTACACTATAAATACCTGGAGATCAACCAGCTCTAACACACTTGCATTAACTCTCAAACTCTAATATTCAGCTTTGCAAAGACTACATGCTCTCTAGATTCTAGGGTTTTTGGACTATATCTTCTTCCAATGTTGCAGCCAGACCTAAACCTTCAGGTGCTACATATTTGCCTATTTGGTGGAGAATTAACATAAGAGGCGGTGCCATTGCTGCAATTAGTTGCTGGTTTCAAGAGGAGAGTAACTTGGATCGAGGGGAGGTTGTGCCATCTTCAACTCTCACATCAATTTGGTGAGAAGCATTAAGAGACTTGGGCATGAACTTCACAGCTAGGTACTGCACTTATGGTGATCTCCATCATATTCAGGTATTCCTTAACCTCTCCTTGGTCTGAAACTCATTGATCTGAATCACATGTTTGATCCTTGATGGAGAAAATATTTGTCATAGGTGATGATTCTCAGCATATTAGGGCTGCCGACAGTTGGATCTGGGTTGGTTCTAGGTAGAACCTGTCCTAAACCGATTATTAATCAGCACAAAAGAGTGAACCCAGAACCATCCCAATTAAAAATCAGGTCCGATCAGGTCTAATCCAATAGATCCGATTATTCTGAAAGCTATATTTATTTATTTAAATTCATTATCTATCAAATTTACCATTTCAGACATGAAATATAGTAAAGTTAGGAAAACATTATATATATATTTCATACAATAATCGATTAGGGTCCTAATCGATTCTGGACAAGCAAGAACCAGAACCAACCCGATTATTAATCGGGACAAAATCATGGAACCAGAACCAACATAATCAGTTCAGTTCAGTTCAGTTCGGGCAGTCAGGCAGAACTGACCCATTGACAATCCTAAGAAGTATTCACTGTAGTAAGTTTTTGAACTTATACATGCTTGGGGCTGAGAATCTTTCACCATCTCTTGGCATTAGCACTTTCAGTTCCTTATTATCAAGATTAAATCTAGGTTTCTTTTGTAATGAGAAAAAGTAAATGTCATTGTTGCAGGATTTGTTTCTTTCCCATCTGTTTTAGCATGTAAATATATTGACTAAAAGGAAGCAAAGAARGAAAAGAAAAAAGAAACAGTACTGTTTGGAGGAAAGCCAAAATTATGAGGCATAAGCCTCTATTCCATATATATAAACTGCTTTATAACTATAGCAATTGACTAATATCTGGTTGTATAACTCACTATAACAGCCTTATAAACAAAGGCTATTTAAAACACTGAAAGAGATATAGGTGATAAATAAACACTAAACTCCTATTACAACTCGAGCACTACTGAACTAAAAAAATACTCGTATTTCAACAATCCCTCTCAAGATGAGCATAGATGCTAACCATACCCAGTTTGCCTAGAGTACAATTCAGCTTGAATTTCTAGACTCCTTTAGCAAAAACACCCACCAACTGTTCATCTGCCTTCACAGAAGGAGATAGTTGGAATGAAGAGTATAGGAAGAAGAAGAAGAGGTATCGAAAGAATAGGGTGTGTTACTATTCACACCAAAATGTTTTCATTTAACTTAGTAAAGAAAAATCACATTCATAATCTCAATACTCCCCCTCGAGCTGAGCATAGATATCTATCATGCCCAGCTTGCCTAGGTTTCTTTCAAGCTTCAGCTTGTGGAAGCCCTTGGTCAGACAATTAGCAAGTTGATCTTTTGACTTGACAAAAGGCACACATATTTCTCCACCATCTATCCTTTCTCTAATGAAGTGTCTATCAACCTCAATGCATTCTGTATGATCATGTTGAACTGGATTATGTGCAAGGTTTATAGCAGCTTGATTATCACAATACAGTCTCGTTAGAACTTCAGCTTGGATTCTATATAATTCTAATACACCATGAGCCATAGCCCTATATTCTGCTTCTACACTAAATTGAGCTACAACTAATTCCTTTATAGTTCTCCAAGACACAACACTACCTCCCACCAATGCACAATAACCAAAGGTGGATCTCCTATCATCCACAGAGCCTGCCCAATCAGTAGCATTAGTATAAGCCTCAACTTTGAGATGCCCATGGTTGGAGTATAACATTCCTTTGCTTGGGGCCCCTTTAAGTAGGCAAGGATCCTATTAATTGCTTGCATATGTGAAGTTTTGGGTCATGCATATATTGACTCACCTTATATATGGCATAGGATATATCAGGTCTGGTCAAGAAGCACAAGTAGAGAAGTTGACCAACTAGTCTCTGATAGGCACCATTTCTAGAAGAATGTATCTGTCATCAGCATTTAATTTATGATTGGGATCAATACGAGTTTCAACTGGTTTGCATCCTAACTTGCCAACTTCTCTACAAAATGAAGATCCCTTCCTTTTGAACTTGCCACTTCTATTCCAGAAAAAGTATCTTAGATTCCCAAGATCTTTGATCTCAAATTCAGAAGCAATAAATGACTTTAGTTGGACTATTCCAGTGTTATCATCTCCAATGATAGGAATGTCATCAACATATACTATCAGTAGAGTCACTAAGTCATTAACTCTTCTTATGAAAAGAGTGTGAACTACATGTGATTGAGTGGACCCAATTTTAAGAACAACATTTCTGAATCTATCAAATCAAGCTCTAGGAGACTACTTGAGCCCATAAAGGGATTTGTTCAGATGGCAAACCTTCCCTCACTGTCAGAGAAGTTTACCCTTGGGGGAAGATCCATGTATACCCTCTCTTAAAGATCTCCATTGAGGAAGGCATTCTTCACATTCATCTAGTATAGACACCATGAATAATAAGCAGCAAGAGACAATCATTTGGATAGAATTCATTTTGGCTACAGGTGCAAAGCTCTCCTAAATAATCAATCCCATTTGTTTCGATATATCCTTCTACCACCAACGTAGCTTTGTATCTTTCAATTAAGCCATCTGCCAAGTGTATAGCAATATACATCCACTTTCAACCCATTGGGACCTTACCCTTAGGAAGTGGAACAATCTCCCAGGCTTGGTTCTTTATGAAGACCTCCATTTCTTGATTCATAACATCTTTCCACTAAGGCTCCGTTTGGTTTGTGGGAAGATTTAGGTGGGATGGGAAAAAATGGGATGGGATGGGATGGAAAAGTGTAAAAATCTACTCTTCCATTGTTTGGTTTTATACATGAGAAAATAATAAGAAAACATTGTTTCAAGGAGAAGAGAAGAGAAGGTGAGGGAGAAGAAAACACAATGTCTGCAAACCCAGATCTGTGTCTGCAACTGTATCTACGAACCCAAAAGAAGAAAGAGAAGAAGAGAGGAGAGAGGGAAGAAGGGAGTGTCTTCGATCTGTGTCTGCGAACCCAGATCTAAGTTCTACCATGGCAGAACTTAGATTTGTGTCTACGAACCCAGATCTGTGTCTGTGAACCCAGAAGAAGAAAGAGAAGAAAAGAGGAGAGAGG